TAAAAAAAAAAAAAACCAAGGCAAAATGAGGTCAGGGCAGGGCCTCAGGGTCAGGTCAGGAGGGGAGAGGAGACTGATTAACGAAATGAAAAAATAGAATTAAAAAAAAAAAAGTCTGTGGCTTTGCATGCAACTCGAGAACCGCTCGTGTGGGTGGTGGGTAAGTGTGTCTCTCTTCAAAAACATATGCTTTTTGGTTTTTGGATGTTTTGGTTGGGGTGGGGGTGTTGGTATTGATGTTGGCTGTGCCTCACTTTCGCTTTCTCATCGGGCTTTGGACCAAAACCAGAATCTGTTTGTCTCTTTCTCAAACCCTTTTGCTTTTCTCCAAGGAAAAAAAAATTTAAAAACAAATATAAATATGGAAAAACGAAAGGTTTGCAGACTCCTTACCATCATTCATCCCCACCACCTGTCCTATATTTCCCCCATCTTATTTACTTCTTTTCCTTTTACCATCCCCCATCTTCAATTATGTATTGTATTGATCGTTCAATAAATAAAGCTGTAACCAATTGATGACCATAAGGTTTGCTTATAATTGTTCATGTAGGGAAACAACTGTAATCTTTTCTGTCTGATAAATTTAATTATTTTGTTTTTTAATAATCTGAATTTAAATTTTTACGAACTATAGATTTTAATATCAACTTGTGTCTCTTTATGCTAACATTATTCCTTCATCAATTTGGAGTAAGTTATTCCCTTAAAATAATGACGATATGGCCTATAGGGGTGTGGGGGATGAGCTTCCCAACACAGACATAGTTTTGTCCACTCCAACAAGGTACTATCCTGGATCCCAGTGCCTCTTTGGAAAACTTAATTAAGACTGGATTAACCTTAAATTTTTCTTATATTTTAACATTTAGTTCATTCTTTATTTAAAAAATAAGATTTGAATTCCTTCTCTCTTAATTATAAAAAAAATTCTTTAATATCCCTTGTTTTGTGTTATATTTTTTTCATAAATGTATTCACCCACACACACACATTTTTCTTTTTTTCAACTAAAAAAAAGACTAATTAATGGTTAAGCATTCATGGCATGATCAGGGAATGGACAATGACATCAAATAACAAAATGATGTTTTTGTGGGCAACAATTAGCCACCCTTACTAAATTTATACTAATTACTAATCGAAGGTCAATTTTCGCAACTCATCTTCAATTGCTTCAATTTTAACATTGTATTTCATTTTCAGTCAATACAAGTCAAAAATTAACGTGAATTGAATACTACACGAATATGTGCATTAATTTCTTAAATATACTAAAAAGAAAAAAAAGTAAAGATGTACCTTTGATAAGATAATTTAGACGTGAAATTAGGGTTTGATTCCTAAAAATTTGTGCATTATGGTTTCTATTAGATAGAGTACAATTATATATGTAAAAGCCTCTTACCCACCCAAAAGCCAATTTTGAGTTCTTTTAAAGTCACAACTTTAGATTTTCTCTTCTTTCTAAAATGATGTACTTGAGTAGATTGACAGCCATGCTTTTTGGTTGATATATCTCTATATATATACATGGATTTTCTTATTTGCCTTTGTAAAGTATGATAAATCTTAATGGGGCAAAACAAAAGCAATAAACAAAAACACTTGTTTCCTTTGTTCCTCATTTACGAGATGGAAGCTTTGCATGCACATGAAAAGGCAATGAAACTCGTAAGCAACAAAACCAAGTGGCAATACATGTCAAAGATTGGTGCAAAACCCTACAACATTCAGAAAAATATTTAATGATTCCCACCACTTAGACCCACCACCAAACTTGAAAATATATATATATATATATATTATATAAAACTTATTACTCAAATAAACATGAAGATAATATGATTGTTAATAATAAAACCAAGTGCTTGACTGGTTTTCCACAATCAAATCGTATTCTTTAGGGGGAATCAAATAGATTAATTAATGTAGCTCCTTTTTTTTTCTTTTATCATTTTATTGAAAAATAAACACATAAAAACTTGTTACTTTCTTTTTTGGTGGGGTGAGTCATTCAACTTCCCCTTTTCTTTTTTGGCTTTTTGATTGATTTTTAGGTGACTTTAATTATAATTTGTATACTTTTTCTCAGGCAATGTTCCGTTAGCTAACCTATAAAAGATTAACAGTTATTATATTCTTTTATCTTTTGAATCTTTTTGACTATTGAAATCATTGTCCCACTTTTATGCTTTCATAAATATTTTATATTTTCCATTAAAAAGTAGAGTATTTTATATTTACTGATTGATTATTTGCCCCATATATTGGCTTTGATCTTATTAATAAACAAACAGTGAAATCATGCATATACATGCATGACACATGTACTATGACTGACTACCTAAGATGGTTTGAACAATTTTATTATTCTTTTCTTAAACTATTCAATTGCCTTCTCCCTCTTTTTCATTTCCATTAATGGACAAAGTGTAACCCATTAAATTTGCAGAGGAGATTAAAATTCAACTTGCAATGTGTCCGGTTTGAATGGTTAGCATGAGGTAGAAAAGTTGGGTGGCAAAGGGAAAAGGATGAGGAGAGCATATTAAAGAGGATGGTGACTATTGGTCATGAGATCAAGTTATAGCTCGCATGCCAATTGAAATGCATCTAGACCTAAAAACCATTTTCTCCTTTGGAGAAAATTATTAGTGGATTTACTATTTTTAACATGGATAGTTGCATTCATGATTCCTAAATATAGGTCAAGAAAGGAACATATATAATTATGTGGTATGATTTATTAATTAGAAAAATTAATAATGAATAAGTTTCCACTAGCAAAGTTGGGACTAAATACGAAGTGGGGAAACAGGGCAAAAGGTGTGGAGGGAAACTAACATGAATTAGTAGGCAAAATTAATGATCTAGCAGGATATGTACATTGAGTTAATTAATACACATTGCCTTCCTTCACAAGAATATAATTGAGGTCCCCACGATTTAAATCAAAATAATAGAAATTAAAGTACCTAAAACAAGTTATGCCCCCCTATTTTAATTTATTAAATGAGTATAGAATTTGTACGAAACCCAAATCGCAGTGACCCGAATTGGTATCCAGAGAGCAAAAGTTGAAAAACTGAGACTGACTAAAACAAGTAGCTAGTAAAGTAGTGGAGTTAATAATCTTTGTTCTAAATGGAGAAAGCTATCACACTTACCATGCATGCATGAGGAACCTCTGTCACAAGAAAAATGCCTGTGCCAATTAGGTTGTAACGTATTAGAGAGACTTTGTTCTGTTGTTCAAAAGTAATGATGGGTTTTTTTTGCTTGTTTGACTGTGGAAGAGATCATTGCGGGTCTTAGGGGAGACATCAAAACCAAATAAATACTAGGAGCTACTAATATTAATAATATTATTCCCTGCCTACAAATATAAATTCCCCTCTTTTTTTTTTTTTATCATCATCATCGTCACTCTCTATCACACGCAAATCTCATCTTTTTCCTTATTTAGCAAAATTCTTCATGCTATGCTGTGAGGCCAAAGAGAAGGAGAGGGAAAGATACCCAAACTTGCAAGTACAATATATCATATGTGAGGCCATTATACCAATCACTCACGCTAAGTTTTGCTTTCAGGAGTGGAAGGGAAATTAGGGAACTAAAGCCTGCTGCTCTTTTTTCTTATGTACTTCAGCCCAAGTGACAAAAATGATTATATATTTATCACAGCACTAACTACTCAATATTTTTTTTGTTATGTATAATTAAAATTCTTTATATATATATATATATATACTAATAAAAAGCAAAAATACTAACAACTTGCTAACTTATATATGACTTTGTACAATGGACGGCCACAACTCATGATTACAATCTCATGGAACATGGAGATGAACTATACATAACCCACACCCACAGCTCCGTTTATTTATTTATTTTTTTATTTTTTAAGTGAAAGAAGAAAATATATAAGAAAACCAAAAAGCAAAAAAAAAAAAAAACAAAGGGAAAGCAGCGCTCTGATACAAAGAAAAGATCAAATCAGAAAAGATAAAGTGAGTGAAAGAAAGATCTCGTTTTCATTGCCCCGAATCTCAGTAACAGAAGGCAGGGAAAGGAACCACCCTTACCATCCCACATAAAACCAAACCCCATTGCTCAAAAAAAGCACCCACTCATAAAATAATAGAGCCTTCTGGGTACGTTACTGTACGTTACATGTATCGCAATGTGCACACGCGTGAGTAGAAGGGCAAACTCTGTTTCTGTTTCAACAACTTACTCTATTATTTCAAGAAAAATATCACATCCTTTAAAATTAAAATATTTTTATGAAACAAA